CCCCTTGTCTTTTGTGTTTTTGTATTGGCCATCTATATTTCTCTAGCAGACTGCCAGTACTGTCTTCTTCAGTTTGAGCTATGAGTTGCTGAGAGTCAAGTTGTCAATGTCGGCTCAAAATCAAATTGTTGTATTTGTTAAGAGTTACCCTTCATTTTATCTGCTCAAATATTCAAAGTTCTACATTCTTAAAATCAAAGTTTAAGAATGATTGTGAAGTTTTCAGGGCAGACAGATGCTCAGCTATCGATTTCATTGGTATATTTCTGCTAGATTTGTTATATATAAACATTTCATATATTGGGCTTATGTATTTCAGAACGTAGGTTTTAATTGGGAGGGAGTTCATGTGCATGGTTAAGTTCCAGCAACTCGTTACTTCTTTCTGCTGCTGCTGCTGCTGCTGCTGCTGTTGTTGTTGTTGTCATTGTTGCTGGAGTTTTTTTCGCGACAATCCTTTCCCCGTGTAACATCTCTGGAGTGTGTCTGGGTGTGCCCGTGTGTGGTGAGTGTGCCAGTGACAGATCGCTGTCTCCGTCCTTGTGTTGATCCCTCTGACATATACCTGGTGTGCAACTAGCACTGGGCAAGTTAATGGTGGGGCCGTGAGTGCCCCGAAACTATTTCCTTGCTCATTGTTGTTCCCTCCCTCTTGTAGAATTTGCTAGATTCTTTTTTCAGGTTTGTTGGTTATTAAACCTTTTGCCCAGAGCCACGAGGTGGAATGGTGTTGGTGGGTGGTTGGCGGGTGCTCTGGCGTGGTTTGCTCCTTCTTTCCTATCAAACATCTATCGTCCTGATCTCTCCTCCTTCTTTTTTATGTTTGTTACTCTCTTGTAACACCTCTAATCTTCGGCTCTGATATGACCTTATTGTGTTGCAAGTGCCGTAAAACTCTTACTAAAACTAAAAGCAGCCTGCTTCCTAAATGATCTTTTTTACTGCTGTCCTTTTGTGTGTATAGTTACTGTATGGTTGTGAAAGTTCCTCCTTATGTGGTTGAACTGGTTATTCTTGTTTCTGTGAAATATTTTCTTTTGTGTGGATGATTATGTGATTGGTGTAAAGCGCTCAGAGCTTATAGGCCTATTAGTATGGGATAGAGCGCTATATAAATGTAGTCTATTATTGTTACAGTCAAGAAGCGCCTCTAATCTTTGACGCTCATGTGTGTGACCTATGTGTATTGTAAGTGCTGTAAAATTCGTACTAAAACTAAACCCCTCTTCCCCCCCCCCTCCACACACACACACCCTCACAGAGTCTGACAAACTAAACAATCAGTATTTCTGTCCCCCCTCCCCCC